ATATATATATATATATATATATATATATATATATATATATATATATATGAATTAGAATTGTGAACAAGCACCAACTTATTTTCCACATGTGTGTGGAGGTATATGGTTACATTATTAATGGAGAAAAATGGTCAGATAAGCGGAAGTGTGTAATCTATTTGACAAGGTGATGATATAGCATAATGAACCTGGCTGTGGAATCAGCGTGATGAGTCTGAGTCACTTAACTATCCTTGACATTGAACTGTATTTAAATAGTTACCTAAACTTTGGATATATCGCTGCTTTTCGAGACTTAGTTTAGCTTGTGAAGCTCGTGCCAGTTGATCTCTAACCTCATCATGTATTATAGTGTGTGTGTGTGTGTGTATGTGTGTGTGTGCGCGCACACTATGCGTTCAAAATAAAGATGCGTGTTTTCAATCTTGCACATTTCTGGTAATGTTGTTTCTTGGGCACAAACATGTCTTATTGTGAAATCTTTTTAAAACCTAGAGCAGAAATTGCTGTCCACATCTATAGCACTTCCTTACAAGTCCACCTGATTTTAAATATTTTTACACCCCAGTGAAATTGTCCGAATATTTAAAATGGGATGGGAATGGTCAGAGAAAACTCGGATAATTGTATGCCTGTCACAATCACTGCGATCTTGTTATTCTACCATCACTGTGATCTTCTTATTCTACCATCACTGTGATCCTGTTATGCTACTATCACTGTGATCTTGTTATGCTGCTATCGTTGTGATCTTGTTATTCAACCATCACTCTGACGCTATTATGCTACTATCATTGTGGTCTTATTATTTTACCGTCACTGTAATCTTGTTATGCTACTATGTGGTCCTGTTATTTTACCGTCGATCGTGTTATGCTACTATCGCTGTGATCCTGTTATGCTAATGTATCTCTGTGATCTTGTTATTTTACCGTCACTGTGAGCTTATTATTCTACGACGATGAAAAGTGTTTTGTTCAACTCAATTTAGTGAAATTAGTTGGCTTTTCTTCGTTTATTACCCCAATTGTCTGCCAAGCTTCTATTTGCCAATCCTGTCAGATTGCACTTTGACATGGATCTTCCTATTTGCCAATCCTGTCAGATTGCACTTTGACATGGATCTTCCTATTTGCCAATCCTGTCAGATTGCACTTTGACATGGATCTTCCTATTTGCCAACCCTGTCAGATTGTACTTTGACATGTCTCTTCTTATAGCTGTTCAAACAATCTTCACAAAAAAAAGCCAATAAAGTTTACCAAAGCACGTGTTCGCAAAATTTGAATCTGTTCCACCACAAGAACTTCTTATAACAAATGATAGTGGCTGCTGGCTTTAAGAATTTCCGAAAATCTGGATCTTTCACATTTTCGACCTTTCTAACAAAACATAATTGTCTTTCTTTGTCACCAGGAATGGACATAACATTGCTTTGGTCAGAAACGATTTGGTTATTGTTGGAGGTAATGTCACAAAGAATGCGAAATGGAACATTTGCTGAAGTTAGTAGCAACTGATTGGTTACTTGCTTCGTGTCTTTTCAATAGATATCATTGGAGTAATTTTTTCTTGTCTCCTATACCAGAATTCTTTGTTTTCACTAATATTATTGACATATGTTTATTATTCTTCTAATAAGAAAAATAATGTTTCGCAAGCTATTTGTGCTTCCACACCAACCCCATCACGAGAAAGATTAAATGGTAGGATTCTTATGTATAAACAATGTCATGTGTGTTCTTCAATAGAACCTTCGTTATTCATACTTTCTTTCATTATTTCGTACTTTGACACGACTTTTTTCATCTTTCGTTCCAATAAGAACAGACCAAAGGATTTACTGTATGTTAAATAAATTAACACGGGCTTTTTAAAATTATTATTCTTTTTATTCCCCTGTTCGGTTTCGTATGACTCTTGTACACAGCACAACAACAGCTGTAAGGTATTCTTGCCGTCAGAGACAAGTACCATGCACACGAACATACCATAGAAGACAACCTGGACTGATTCTAATCCGTACCCTTTCGGTCGCATTTTCAAAAACTAAGCCTCGACTACTCTTGTCTCCATTAATCGCCTCTTGTGATATGCAGAAAAACTACCTTGTCTGAAGAAATTCACGGATACCTCAATAATATATTAATCTACCTAAAATACAGATGACGTAACAATAAATTTATTTATAACTCAACCTGGGTGCCAACAGCATGGATCAAAGAGGTCACGTGACCTCAGAAGTAATACATTATATATATATATATATATATATATATATATATATATATATATATATATATATATATATATATATATATATATATATAGATAGATAGATAGATAGATAGATAGATAGATAGATAGATAGATAGATAGATAGATAGATAGATAGATAGATAGATATGTTATTTAGGGACATTTTTGTTAACAGAAAATATTGTTTAACTTTTTCAGGCTGAAGGATAAATATTAGGATTATTATCTTTAGTTCAGTCAAGGACATCTGTATTTTCTTACATAGTTAGACCTGGTCTACGTGATGATTGTGACATGTTTTGTTTAGGTTTTGGCAACAGATCGTCTAAATATAACTAGATTTTTCTAGAACAATGAACTTTTGACCTTCATCCATGTTTTCTTCTTATGTCTTAGTTCTTTTTAAGGATTTAAATCTTGTTTACTGGAAAATTAGGGCGAGAGCATCTATGCAGAATCAAGTTATGATAATGTTGTGCAGTATTTTGATTTGGGTGAAATTATTTAATTCAAATTCTTTTTCTTCGGAAATGAATTAGCTCAAAATAATATTCTTTGGCATAGAAATTGGATTTATAGTGAAATTCAAAAAATATATATTTTTGGATTGGATTATTATGATCAAACAAAAGACTCATTGGGTCTTGTGTTATAAATTATGGGATTATTTGGAGATTTGATTCGCAATACGGCAATCTATTGTTTTACATTTTCACTTCGTATTCTCGGGGAATAAATTATTTGTTGAATTTTACAAAACATTTTGGTTTTCGTTCTTTTCAATTACTTAGAGCCGTAACAAACTCCTTACCATATCATTTTCATCCGTAATTCGAGCAGTTTGTGTCTTAGTGACCCATCCATTATTAAGCAAATTTTGCTTGATGCTGTTACTGCAGGAAATTTAAACAAAAAAAAAAACAAATAAAATTTGTTATACAAAATAAAATACAAAATTTATACCTCATCAAAGCATTAAAGATTTGTAAATGCCGTTTATTAGGAAATGCAAATAAATTCATAATTCTCTCTCTCTCTCTCTCTCTCTCTCTCTCTCTCTCTCTCTCTCTCTCTCTCTCTCTCTCTCTCTCTCTCTCTCTCTCTCTCTCTCTCTCTCTCTCTCTTGCACGATATGTAGACAGTGATATGAAGCGTTGGAATCTAATGAATTCCCTCTTTGGCGGCTGAGGAACATAGATTATCTTTAATCAACCTTTGCTAGCTTTGCAGCTTAATTGTTTATTTATTGTGGTGCGATAAATTTAATGGGTTGTCTTGTGTGACTTGTAACATATCTCATTGCATTACTAGACAGACATTAAAATGTTAATATTAGTAAGGTGCCTTGAGACTGCAAAAAAGGTCTTCATACCGTGCTTGCATTTAGCACATAATACTAGCATACACCATGGTATCGGATTTGTAAAGCAGAACATCATACACACATGCACACACAAAGCATGTACAGTTAAAGCGGATATTGAACAACTGAGGAGATAAATACGACTTACTCATCACGTGCTTCCAATTTATGACATTATTAATGTGTTAGGCCAATCATGATATACGTTGAGGTCAGAGGTAACAAAAATTATGAAACATATATCACTGTAAGAGGGTATTTAATATACATTTTATTACAGTAATCTATATCAACGTTAACCCTCAGGTTACAAACATTTCTAAAACGTTTGATAGATAATATCTGAACTGGTGTATTTGGTTCTTGCGCAATTTCAAGACCAGAGGGAGTTACTGTGCCACTAGAAAGGCCAACTCATGCAGAACCGTATAAGATGGCCTTCATTTACTGTCTACCTACTGTAGTCTGTAACTGCTGTCATTGCTTAAAATAAAATTTGAGCAAGTTACTAAATACCATTGGTTAATGGTTACATCTATATAATAGCTCCCAAGTCCCCCCCTCAACAAAAAAGTTAAAAGAAATTAATACCAGAAATCAAATAAGAGTGAACTTCAACAGCATTTATATTCTTTCTTTTGTTAAAGTCTGAATATGAAACAATATACATCACTCTTGAGCTAATTAACAAGCAATTTAAAAAAAAACTCCCTCAAAATTAAAATTTAAAGATTGAATGGGATGCAAGCGGCAGTAATATTCAAGGGTTAAGGAAGAAATTGATGGGCTTAGATTATTTTCTTAATTTTCAGCATTCTTTTATTGAAGGACTAGATACTAAATATGCCAATTTTATTTACACATACATTTAGAATTGCAAACAGAACATAAATCAATTGCATTTGCACATCACCTTGAAGAGCAACTTGCATATATTACTATATAAGGTGGATCGGGAGCCTGTAAGGACACTACCAAAAAAAATTCTACTTTATTTTCCTCCATAATCTGTTTCATATTCTTAAGACTCTATTATTTTCAAAAAAGTAATAAAAAGAGCGAAAACCAATATGTTTTTATGAAATTCAACAAATAATTTATTTCTCACAAATACAAAGTTATGTGATTTGATGTGATTATGAATTTTAACGTAGCTTTAACAATTTTTCAGTCGTATCGCTACGATGTCTGCAGTGTGGTAGTTTATAATGATGTCTAGCACTGGGGCATCATGCCGTAGACATGTAGCATGATATATCCCATCCAGTCACATTATCCTGACACCAGGCCGACCAGTCTTAACACTAACCTCTTAATGCTGAGTGTCAAGCGAGGCAGCTGTTAGTACCATTTTTGTAAGTCTTTGGTATGACTAGACTGAGACTGAGGATCGAACCCACGACCTCCCGCATTTGAGGCGGACGCTCTAACCATTAGGCCACCGGAAAAAATACAAAGTGAAAGTCTAAAAAGAACTGAAAGTATTGTTAATTAAATCTTAAACAGAACAGACTCCATCACAACTACAAATGTATGAAGTTAAAATTAAATTCCAGTTGCATTCAAATAAGTTCCAATATTGGATGTGTTGATATGCCGGTAGTCTCGAACGTTGTAATTTGCCTACAGCCTGGATTGTGACGATGTGTTAAAGTTTTTGGATGTATCACAAAAATATAATCCAAACATGTCCTTATCTGGATTCACTTTAGTTCTAAATTAATGTTCCTGTTTAAGAATATTATTGATTAGCACTTTGTATTTCTAGTGCATAATAATTTGAATAAATAATCCCAAACAATTGAAAATCTGAACACTATAATAAGACTGATTCTGTCTCAAGCTGTTAAGGTAAGAATGAGTCACTTTTCAAGTAAACAGTATATATATATATATATATATATATATATATATATATATATATATATATATATATATATATATATATATATATATATATATATATATATAGATATAAAGTGTTTGTACCAAATTATGAACCATTTTACTGTTTTAACAAATAAAGAATACTACATTTTTATACAGTGAATAAAGAACGAATAAAATTCTACAAAATATAATTACAAAATATTTTCTATATTCTTACAAAATATGGAGCATATTCAGGACTTGTATAGCTCCATGAATAATTAATGGTAATAAATAATATAAATAATTAATGGTCGAAAGGTGAGTTTATATGAAATTTACAACAAGTTTAGGAAACCAACCTATTTATTCTGTACCAATTTTGTACGAATAGTTCACAGTGGGTAAATTAGTTACAAGCGGAATCCATTACATGTGGGATGGTGATTTAGCAGACCTGAGTAATTTTAAAGAATATAACAATGATTTAAAAACTTTAAAGTAATTATAAATAATCCAGGCAGTGAATTTATTGACTGCTCTTTCAACATTTTCTTACAAGGAAAGAAAACTGTTCACAAAGCTAGCATTATCGAACATAAGCAGAATTTTTGAAACGATTTATTCGTACTTTGCTAAATTTAGTATATGCTTACATTGAATATAAGCACGCTTGGTTACTTTGTTAATAAGCACGCTTGGTTACTTTGTTAATAAGCACGCTTGGTTACTTTGAAGATAAAATCGCTTTTGAAATAAACATGCTTGGTTGCTTTGAAAATAAGCACACTCTTCAATGTTTAGATGTATTCCAAGAGTCTAAATAAGCACACTTTTCAATATTTAGATGTATTACAAGATTCTAAATAAGCACACTCTTCAATATTTAGATGTATTATAAGATTCTAAATAAGCACACTCTTCAATATTTAGATGTATTACAAGATTCTAAATAAGCACACTCCTCAATATTTAGGTGCATTACAAGATTCTAAATAAGCACACTCTTCAATATTTAGATGTATTACAAGATTCTAAATAAGCACACTCCTCAATATGTAGGTGCATTACAAGATTATAAATAAGCACATACTTCAATATTTAGATGTATTACAAGATTCTAAATAAGCACACTCTTTAATATTTAGATTATTACAAGATTTTAAATAAGCACACTCTTCAATATTTAGATGTATTATAAGATTCTAAATAAGCACACTCTTCAATATTTAGATGTATTACAAGATTCTAAATAAGCACACTCCTCAATATTTAGGTGCATTACAAGATTCTAAATAAGCACACTCTTCAATATTTAGATGTATTACAAGATTCTAAATAAGCACACTCCTCAATATGTAGGTGCATTACAAGATTATAAATAAGCACATACTTCAATATTTAGATGTATTACAAGATTCTAAATAAGCACACTCTTTAATATTTAGATGTATTACAAGATTTTAAATAAGCACACTCTTCAATATTTAGATGTATTATAAGATTCTAAATAAGCACACTCTTCAATATTTAGATGTATTACACGATTCTAAATAAGCACACTCTTCAATATTTAGATGTATTACAAGATTCTAAATAAGCACACTCTTCAATATTTAGATGTATTATAAGATTCTAAATAAGCACACTCTTCAATATTTAGATGTATTACAAGATTCTAAATAAGCACACTCTTCAATATTTAGATGTATTATAAGATTCTAAATAAGCACACTCTTCAATATTTAGATGTATTACAAGATTCTAAATAAGCAAACTCCTCAATATTTAGTTGCTTTACAAGATTCTAAATAAGCACACTCTTTATTATTTAGATGTATTACAAGATTCTAAATAAGCACACTCTTCAATATTTAGATGTATTACAAGATTCTAAATAAAACACTCTCATCAATATTTAGATGTATTACAAGATTATAAATAAGCACACTCTTCAATATTTAGATGTATTACAAGATTATAAATAAGCACACTCTTTGATATTTAGATGTGTTACAAGATTCTAAATAAGCACACTCTTTAATATTTAGATGAATTACAAGGTTCTAAATAAGCACACTCTCTAACATTTAGATGTATTACAACATTCTAAATAAGCACACTCTTCAATATTTAGATGTATTACAAGATTCTAAATAAGCACACTCTTCAATATTTAGATGTATTACAAGATTCTAAATAAGCACACTCTTTAATATTTAGTTGCATTACAAGATTCTAAATAAGCACACTGTACAATACTTAGATGTATTACAAGATTCTAAATAAGCACACTCTTCAATATTTATATGTATTACAAGATTCTGAATAAGCACACTCCTCAATCTTTAGATGTATTACAAGATTCTAAATAAGGACACTCTTTAATATTTAGATGTATTTTAAGATTCTAAATAAGCAATCTCTTCCATATTTAGATGTATTACAAGATTCTAAATTAGCACTCTCTTCAATATTTAGATGTATTACAAGATTCTAAATAAGCACACTGTTCAATATTTAGATGTATTACAAGATTCTAAATAAGCACACTCCTCAAAATTGAGGTGCATTACAAGATTCTAAATAAGCACACTCTTCAACATTTAGATGTATTACAAGATTCTAAATAAGCACACCGTTTAATATTTAGATGTATTTCAAGATTCTAAATAAGCACACTGTTCAATATTTAGATGTATTACAAGATTATAAATAAGCACACTCTTCAATATTTAGATGTATTACAAGATTCTAAATAAGCACACTCTTCAATATTTAGATGTATTACAAGATTCTAAATAAGCACACTGTTCAATATTTAGATGTATTACAAGATTCTAAATAAGCACACTCCTCAAAATTGAGGTGCATTACAAGATTCTAAACAAGCACACTCTTCAACATTTAGATGTATTACAAGATTCTAAATAAGCACACTGTTTAATATTTAGATGTATTACAAGATTCTAAATAAGCACACTCCTCAATATGTAGGTGCATTACAAGATTCTAAATAAGCACACTCTTCAATATCTAGATGTATTACAAGATTCTAAATAAGCACACTGTTTAATATTTAGATGTATTACAAGATTCTAAATAAGCACACTGTTCAATATTTAGATGTATTACAAGATTCTAAATAAGCACACTCTTTGATATTTAGATGTGTTACAAGATTCTAAATAAGCACACTCTTTAATATTTAGATGAATTACAAGGTTCTAAATAAGCACACTCTCTAACATTTAGATGTATTACAACATTCTAAATAAGCACACTCTTCAATATTTAGATGTATTACAAGATTCTAAATAAGCACACTCTTCAATATTTAGATGTATTACAAGATTCTAAATAAGCACACTCTTCAATATTTAGATGTATTACAAGATTCTAAATAAGCACACTCTTCAATATTTAGATGTATTACAAGATTCTAAATAAGCACACTCTTTAATATTTAGATGTATTACAAGATTCTAAAAAAGCACTCTCTTCAATATTTAGATGTATTACAAGATTCTAAATAAGCACATACTTCAATATTTAGATGTATTACAAGATTCTAAATAAGCACACTCTTCAATATTTAGATGTATTACAAGATTCTAAATAAGCACACTCTTTACTATTTAGATGTATTACAAGATTCTAAATAAGCACAACCCTCAATATTTAGATGTATTACAAGATTCTAAATAAGCACTCTCTTTATTATTGAGATGTATTACAAGATTCTAAATAAGCACACTCTTTATTATTTAGATGTATTACAAGATTCTAAATAAGCACACTCTTCAATATTTAGATGTATTACAAGATTCTAAATAAGCACACTCCTCAATATGTAGGTGCATTACAAGATTCTAAATAAGCACACTCTTCAATATCTAGATGTATTACAAGATTCTAAATAAGCACACTGTTTAATATTTAGATGTATTACAAGATTCTAAATAAGCACACTGTTCAATATTTAGATGTATTACAAGATTCTAAATAAGCACACTCTTTGATATTTAGATGTGTTACAAGATTCTAAATAAGCACACTCTTTAATATTTAGATGAATTACAAAGTTCTAAATAAGCACACTCTCTAACATTTAGATGTATTACAACATTCTAAATAAGCACACTCTTCAATATTAAGATGTATTACAAGATTCTAAATAAGCACACTCTTCAATATTTAGATGTATTACAAGATTCTAAATAAGCACACTGTTCAATATTTAGATGTATTACAAGATTCTAAATAAGCACACTCTTCAATATTTAGATGTATTACAAGATTCTAAATAAGCACACTCTTTAATATTTAGATGTATTACAAGATTCTAAAAAAGCACTCTCTTCAATATTTAGATGTATTACAAGATTCTAAATAAGCACACTCTTCAATATTTAGATGTATTACAAGATTCTAAATAAGCACACTCTTCAATATTTAGATGTATTACAAGATTCTAAATAAGCACACTCTTTACTATTTAGATGTATTATAAGATTCTAAATAAGCACACTCTTCAATATTTAGATGTATTACAAGATTCTAAATAAGCACA